TTTTTTTTTTTTGGTACCGGGGATCGAACTCGGGTCCTTGCGCTTGCGTAGCAGGCAGCGAAACCACTGAGCTAAATCCCCGGCCCCAGCCCTGAATTCTTAACCTGGCTCTTTTAGACATACACAGTTCATGCTAGTGTAGATGAGTGTAAGCTGGTAGCACCAGTTCTCTGTGCTCTGCCTGTGGCACGCCTCTCGGTCCACCTTCTTTCCCCTGGGTGCCAGAGACCTGAGAAGCGGCCACTCATCAGCATCAGAGGACCTGATAGATGGTGGGGTGAAAGGATGCGTGAAACTGGGGGTACAGTGGGCTGTGAGTCACAGAGTTCACCCTGGAACCTGGATCCCGAGTGATACTTTCTGATCTCCTCACCCAGATTCCAACTCCTCTTTTCCCCTTTTCCAGTTTAAGCGGCTACAAGGCAAGAGGAACCGAGGGCGGGAGGAAATCACCTTCGTGGAGATCAAAGGTGATGACCAGCTCAGTGGGGCCCAGCAGTGGATGACCAAGTCGCTGACAGAAGAGAAGACCATGAAGTCATTCAGCAAAGTAGGTGGGACGGGCCCACAGTGTGGCCTCGGGAGGCCACAGAGCAAATGTTTTGCTCCCCATCCTGACGCCACGCCCTGCCATTACTGTTAGCACCGTTAGCAAGCATGCGTTGCCTGGGGTACTGGGGTGTTCCTTGGGGCTCACAGAGACAGCCCTGCCTGCCGGACTCAGCAGCACTGTGACTGCTGCCCACCTGGGTGGTGGCATCTGGCTGTTGAGAGGGAGCAGCTGGAGCAGTGTCCCCGCCTACGTTGGGAGGATCTTTGGTGTGTTGTGCTCCTTCCCTGAGGCAGAGTCCACAGCCATTTGGCCCTCTCCCTAGTCTTATCCCTCTCTCCTTCCTGAGCTCTGCATGTCTGTGGGGTGTGGCCACGCCGGCTTCAGGAGTGCCAGGGCTCCCTCTTGGATTTATCAGCCAGCTGTGGTCATTTCGAGCGCTTTCTTCCTACGTTTCCCACCCATACTCCTGCCTTCTCTGTGCTGGTTTTTTTACCCGTGTGATGAACGTCTCTTCACCTAGCAGCTGAGTACAGCAGATGTGGCATTTATGAGCCTGCCGCGGGGAGGGATGTGGGGAAGCCCTGGACTTGAGCCCAGCACCAGCAAGGCCAAGGTCCAGGGTTTTATCCCCTCCCCCGATTGCTTTGCTTGGTTCGGTGACCACAGATGCCCACCCGGCCCCCAGTCATTTAACTGAATGCTGGCGGTCATACAGGGCAGAGCAAAGGATTGTGGTTTGATCAGCATAGATCCATCACTGTTTCCTGGAAAAACCACTTAGGAGAGCTTGCTCTACTAACTGGGGGTCGAGAAGCATCATCGCATAGTCCTAGCTCCTGCTTTTAGCACTCACCGTGGGTGAGGGACGTCACTGGATGTGGTAAGCCTGTCATCTTTAACCCTCACATTGAATGACGGGCAGTAGCAGCAAGGAATTAAAGTTCCTTTTTCCCCAGCTCCAGGTTTTCATCCCACCATTGCATTGTACTGAACTAGCTTTTCTAAAAAAGAAGTAAAATGTATGGTCCTGTCCTTGAGGAGGTGACAGTGTAGTTGGGAAGCAGAGATTTAGGGACACTCTTGAGTGTAAATGATTACAGTGCAGATTGATTACATAAGTGCTGAGGAGACTCTGGAGAGGAGCTCTGAGTTGGCGCGGTGGGGGTGAGGGGGTGGCGGTGCTGGGAAGCTTCTAGCCCGAGACAGCTCTGACAGGACAGAAACCACAGGATGAAAGCCCAGGCCAGTATAGGCTTTTACAGCAAATCATTCGCCTCAGAGCTGGGCTAGGGCTTCAGTGTAGTTACAGGAGAGGCTGGGAGATGAGAGGTGGAGTGGTTGTGAAATTTCGAACTCCAGGGAAGCTGTTTGCTCTGCTAGATGAGGGAGGTGGGGCTCCAGCCAGAGCTGATTCACGGGAGAGCTTGGTAAGCAGCAGGTAGGGGACAGGCTGGACATCTGGCCTGACCGGGAGAGGGGCACAGGGATCCTGGGGCCTGGTGGGCGGGCAGATCCCCAGAGCCAGTCTGAGTTGTCCGTAGTGGTCGGAGCCTCCCTGAGCTTGTGCAGAGGTGGGCCGGGCTCACCAAGAAACAACAGTCCTGACCTCAAAGTATTTCCAGTCTAACGGGGATGTGAGCAAGCTATAATAGGCAGGCTTTTTTTTTTTTTTTTTGGTACCAGGGATCGAACTCAGGTCCTTGCTTTTTTTTTTTTTTTTTGGTACCAGGGATCGAACTCAGGTCCTTGCGCTTGCGCAGCAGGTGGCAAAACCACTGAGCTAAATCCCCTGCCCTAGGCAGGCATTCTTAACTGGAGTTCTTTGCATAATGGCTTTAATAAAAATAACTTTTATGGGGCCGGGGATTTAGCTCAGTGGTTTCGCTGCCTGCTGTGCAAGCGGGAGGACCCAAGTTCAATGCCTGGTACCAAAAAAATAAAGAAATAAAAAAATAACTGTTTTGTGAGTATATAGACCTAAGAAATAGCTCCGAGCTGCTTTTTCTGCCCCAGGATTTGCTTCTGTGTTGGTTTTTCAGTCCCCAATCATTTTGGGTTTTTTTTGGTACCGGGGATCAAACTCGGGTCCTTGCGGTCGTGAGGCAGGCAGCGGAACCATTGAGCTAAATCCCTGGCCCTCAGTCCCCAATCTTGCACTGTTGGGCACATGAGAAACTTCTGCTTTTCTTCCTGTAGGTTAAGGACTGTGTTTTCTTTTCTTGCAGAAGAAAGGCGAGCAGCCAACAGGCCAGCAGCGGCGGAAACACCAGATCACATATCTGATTCACCAGGTGAGAATCCTGTGGGCTCTGCCAGGCAAGATCCCTACAAACCGGAAATTGAAGGCTGAGATCCGGGCCTCGGCAATACGGCCCTGTGTTCTGCGTGGCCACTAGGGGAGATGTGCCCGTCACCATTATCCTGCTCTGCAGCCTTTGACTGCGGGTAGGATTTGTGTACAAGTGCAAGTGAAAATTCAGATACTCAAAACAGAATTTGAGGGGGGTGAAATGGCTTGTTATAGAGTTTTTAAGTAGCAAATTTATGGAGTACTTTAAAGAAAAATTTGGTGCCCAAACTTAGCAAAACGTCCACCTCACAAGGAAATTGGTTTTGAATTAGACAATCCAGAAATGTCTTTGGGAACGAGAGTGTCTCGGTGCTTGAGATGCAGGCACCTCTCACACATATTCATGGCACACCTTCTGAGGGGTGTGCGTCCTGTTTCTGTTGTCCTTGTCATATTTCCCCTGTCCTTTTCAGGAACTCCTCTGTACTCTTCTCTCCTCTTGGAAGATTTGTAGAGAATGTAAGGTCTTTTAAACCCCAGACACTGACTGTAGTCCACCTCCCAGAGTCCAGGACGAAGGCGTGGGTGTCAGGCACCTCTGTGGGCTGGGAGCCTCTTTTCCAGGGTGCTGTTCATATGTGCTCAGAGTGCAGTGCAGACCCAGGAGCTGTTGGGATCTGAGAGGAAGGTCACTGCTCTAGTACTGCTCAGCTTCCCGGCTTTGGTCGGATTTCTGGGGCGCCATGTAATGCTGCATTCAGCAGAGCAGCGGAATGGGGAACTTCATCTCCAGACTGAGCAGTGCTGCCCTCTTGTGCTGTGCTGTTCGGATGTTGTCTGGGGTGGCAGGGCTGCCTTCCTTTCAGATGCTGCCTCCTCCTCACTTGGCATTTCAGCTTTAACCCTGTAAAAGCAAGCACGAGGGCTCTTGTTCTGCTAACCTCTGTAGCTCCCCGAGTAGGTGGTTTTCTTTGCTTTCTTGGGGTCTTCCCCTTCTGTGTGGGAAAGAGAAAACTAAGTCTTTTAAGGGATTTGCCATTTCTATGTAGTTGTGTGATGAGACAAAGACATTACATTGGAAAACCCAGAGGCAAGAGGAAAATGTCTTTCTGAATTCCACTTTAAGTGGTAGGGATGCAGCTCAGTGGGAGAGGGCCTGCCTGGCATTCTTGAGGCCTTGGGTCACACACACACACACACACACACACTCTCACGCCACTGTGACTCCCCATGCCTTCTTCCGCCACAGGCTAAAGAGCGGGAGCTGGAACTGAAGAACACCTGGTCAGAGAACAAACTCAGCCGCCGCCAGACCCAAGCCAAATATGGATTCTAGGGCTCTGGAACCCACTGCTCCCAGGATCTCCTACAGCCCAGGCGGCCCAGCCCCAGCTTCGCCTCCGGGACCCCCACTGCTCTAAGCCCAGGACCTCTTTCCCTGGACCCCAGCCCTCGCCTCTGCGAGAATGAACCTATTTGATAGATTTTTCTTAACAAGGTAGAAAATTCAGCTCCTTCCTGTGACGGAGCCAGCAAAGACTTGAGTGCTGCCTCCACAGGGCCGGGCTCTGGGGTGGGAGTTTCCCCGTCGGGCGTGGTCAGGTATTGAACTCTTCCCCCAGCCTTTTTTTTTTTTAAAACAAGGGTTAAAATAAAACATTCAGTCTGACAGATGCCGCCTGCCCCACCTTGCCTTGCCCCCAGTGCCAGCTTGTGTGGTGTCCCCAGACGCCTCTGAGCCACCTCCACCTTTGCTTTGCTTTTTCCTCTTATCCACCATCTCAGCTGGGTTTGTGCCATCAAAGGTCCTAGAAATGTAAGCATGGTTGTGTTGGGGTGAGGTGATTTTGGAGGGGCCTGTGGTCCCAAATACAGGAAATACTGCTGACCTCAGGTGTCTCTGGAGACAGGAAGTCAGAGGTTCTTCCTGTGGCATGACAGTGTTGTTAGATGTAAAATTACATCCAGCAGGAAATGATGTGGTGAAATATCTCCCCAAAAGTGAATCAAATTTACACTGATGTCACTAGGTGTGGTGGCGCATGCCTGTAATCCCAGCATTCAGGAGGCTGAGGCAGGATCACCACAAATTTGAGGCCAGCCTGGGCTGCACAGTGAGACCCTGTCTCAAAAAACCAAACCAGGGCTGGGAATTTAGCTCAGTGGTTCTGCCACCTGCCTAGCAAGCACAAGGTCCTGAGTTCAATCCCCATTACCAAAAAAAAAAAGAAAAAAAAAATAATAGACTGATGTAATTGGCCTGGCCCAGTTTGGAAGCTTAGCATCATCTCCCTGAAGACTTCCAGACTCCTACCCTTTGCTGGGAAAGGGAGGTGGCAGGGTCTGTGGACTCCAGTTAGCTGTGGGGCACTGTAACAGGAGGGACAGGGCAGGTGGCATGATCCTTCCTCTCAGGTCGAGGTGCAAGTAGGAATGGTCCCAAAGACAGCGGGCATGCAGATTATGCTGGGAGTCCCCGATGGAACCATCCGAAGGGGCTTGGACTCAGGATTTGGTGGCCGCCGGCCGCTATGGACAGGGTCACTGCAGAAGGTCCTGCAGCAGTGCTTGGGCTGCATCGGAGGCGCCGGCTGGGTGTAAATGCCAGAGTCCACTGCTGCAGCCCCAGTGGCAGAGGCAGGCTGAGGCTGCAGAGCAGCTCAGAGAAGGGTACGGGGGAAGTCGGGGTGAGACAGAAGCAGCACGAGGGCTCTGCCCTTTGTTGCTGGGTAAGCTGAGGAGTCTGTTTCTCATTAAGTCCACTGGAGGCTTTCGTCACTTACAGGAAAACCACCGCTTATCTGAAATCTGACCTACTTCGGGACGGAGCCAGATAGGGCTCCTGCAGCCCACAGGGACACGCAGGCGGTAGCTGTCCAAATCTGCACGTCCAGCCAGCCCTTGCCCGAGTGGTAGTCTCACCACCCTCCCGCATCCCCGGGGCCACAGGCCAGAGCTGAGGTCTTCTCTATGGGGCCACCTGCCTGCAATCCCAGGTGCATCTTCCCACCTGAGCGCCGCCTCCTGTGGCCCAGCCTCCTCACCTTAGGGCCTGGACTGAGGTGCAGCAGGATGTGCTCCAGGCTGGGAGGAGAGGGAGACACCCAGTCTTCTGGGAACGGGCAGAATTAGGCTGGAGAGTCCTCAGGGTCTCGGGCCTCTGGCCCACTTCATTCTCAGGTAGTCTTAAACTGCATTTTTTAAAAAGTCACTTTTTAGTCCTTCCAGAGATGGCATTGTTTCTTGGTGGTTGGGATTTCCTGGTCACCAAGGGAAATGCTATCAGGTTAGAAGATAGACTCTACTGGGAGGGCTTCCTGGAGGTGGGAGCCTCCGTTCTGTAGGTAAACAGGAAACAAGACAGATGCAGGAGAGATCAGCAACAGTCATGATACTTGGACCAAGGAGGCGGTGCACACCTACATAGAATCCCAGCTACACAGGAGGCTGAGGCAGGAGGATCTCTGCAAACTCAAGCCCATTCTGAATTACAAAGTGATACTTTGTCTCAAAAACCAAACCCAAACAACCCAAAAACCAAGGGCCCCTTGGGTTCAATCCTCAGTACTGGGAGCCGGGGATACTTGGCTAAAATAGGGGTGGCAGCAATCACCAGGGGGCTAAAGGAGGGAGATGGGAGGGATGTAGACAGGGATCCAAGCAGCATGGACGCTGTTGGAGGGGCCAGAGCAGGGCTCGGGCAGATGAGAGCAGAGGAGGCAGTCCTACCCCGGTCAGGGTTACAGATGCATGGAGGCGCGAGGTGCCCAGAAAGACACGGTTTCAGTGCCTCCCCGACACCTGTGGCCCCTGGGGTGCTGAGCTTTGGTCCCAGAAGCCCTAGTCCTTTGAGGCGAAGTTGTGGGGCCTGTGGGGAGTGGCAGGGCCTGGCAAGCTCAGCTCTGTACTTCTCTGCCCAGTCCTCTCGGTGGGGCTGTGGCCCACCCTCCCCCGGCTGCAGGGCACCTCATCCAGACCGCTGCATGGGCTTGGAGAGCTCGAAAGGTGCAGGGGCAGCTGGGGGAGGTAGCAGGGAGACCCGGAGGGCTGCCAGGGTCAGCGTGGCCGAAGGAGCTGGGTTTGCGGGACGAAGCTGGGCCTTCTGCTCGCTCTGAAGGTCTGGGTTGGGGAGAAGCTGCTGAGAAGACCGAAGGGCTGAGCTTGACAGGCCCTGCCTGGAGGGGCAAGAGGAAGGGACTGAACTTCGGGAAGGAAGACTGAGTCCTTCCCTAGTGAGGATTCGAGCATCATCCTGCCTCCCCTTTCCTGTGTAAGTTACTCATCTGCTCCTTCGTTTTGAGGTCTCCCTCAGCCCCAGGTCTCAGCTTGGCAGTGAAGGCGGCAGGGTGGGACACGGGGCCCCTGGTCTTGAGGGGAGGGGAGACACGCTGCCTCCGTCTGCAGGGCTGGGGTGGAGCTCACCCAAGGTATCAGAATGATGCTTTGGGACTGGAGGACAGATCTGGCCAGGGCTCCCCGTCACCTCCCTGTTAGGCCTGAGTTTCCTCTTGAGTTGAACCAAAACTTTGCCCGCTAGGGTCCCTGAAATCCCTCTGGCCCCAGCAGTCCTGCCTGCCCAAGCCAGTCCCTTGCGTGGTCTTATCCAGGCATCAGCCCCACATGCGCACGAGGCTTGATCTCGAGGAATCGGGACAGGGACATGGGAACATGGCCCCTGCCGAAGGCTGCACAGCTGCTCAGCACGGTGCCACCACGGGAAGCCAGGGCTCCTAACTCGCCCACCCTGTCTGGACTTGGCCCCACAGCTAGCAGGCCCCCTGGGTCACCAGGACCTCTGCCCCCTCCCAACCTGCTCCTGTTTCAGACTTTGCTGCCCCAATTCTTGCTGCAGAGGTCACACTTCTGCCTCCTCCACCTGCCTCGAGGACTGCCAGGTGACTTCGGCCTAACCTGAGACTTTTCTTGTGCTTTCAGCGTCCTTGCAGATTTCAGGAGCGCCATCTGCTCCCGCTCCCATCCTCCCCTGTGCTCAGGAGGGCTTTAGACTCATAGACAGAGGAAGTGGAGCCCCAACTCTGCTGACTCAGGATCTGAGTTTCTCCTTAAGCCGATTAACCCTGGAGTGGAAAGGAGCGGAGCTGGGGAGTTACTGGAGCCGAAGCTGGAGCCAGAGCCGGGCTGGGGGGTGGCAACACCCAGGCCTAGGCCATGTGGCTTGAGGGGAGGGTTGCTGTAGACCCCCTCAGCAGGAAGGGAGGCCCCCACAGGTACTGCCTTGCTCCAGCCCTTCCAGGAGCCAGGCTGCACAGGAGAGAAACCACAGCCCACCTTGGCCTGAGGGGATCTGGGGCCAAGCCTTCGATGGGACCCTCCAGGGTGGATATGGCCCTGACTGAGAGCCCCGGGCAGAGACAAAGGAGAAGCAGGGCAGAGGCCTCCAGCCCTGTGGAGCCCCAGGGGGGCTTTGCCCTGGGGCAGGAGGCTGGCCCTGAAGGAGGCGTGGGGGTCACAAGAGGGGCCAGAAAGACACAAGGGAGTCCTGGAGCCATTTCAGGGGGTCCCCATCCTCAAGGGGCTCACACACCGGCTTGCCCTGAGCCTGGCAGAGGGGCTGGGGGAGATGAAGGGGTGTCCCTCGTTCTTCACTGGCACCCTCAAAGTGGTGCAGCCACCGCTCCGCCCCCACAGCCGCCCCAGCTAGAGAAGCTATACTCGGCAGAGGGAGCTGCCAGGCCTGTGACCCTTGCCCAGGGGTCTTTCAACCCCCAGACCTGCCCGCCCCACTGCAGTGGCAGTTCAATCAAAATATGCCAGGGAAGTCAGGTGGTGCGGTGGGGAGGGAGAGAGAGGCTGGAGGACTCAGATCCCTGAGGGGCAGGTTGTTGGCGATGATTTATTAGCCAGACAAGAATCAACAAACAAGTTCTAACATCTGTTCTCACCAAACCACTCCTCAGACAACAGCAGCACTGGACCAGGGCCCAGACTCAAAAGCCCAGAGGACTGAGGAAATTAGAGTCCAGGAGGAGAAACCGGGGTAGCGCCAGCACAGCTTCCTCGAACACATCTTGCCATCTTAGAGGGTCGCGGGCATGGATTTTTCAGGGACTCTTGGGAACCAGCCAGTTCGGACAGTCCTAAGAGGAGGCAGATTCCACATTTGCTTCTCCGACTCCTAGGCTTCTTGGGGTGGGGGTGGGGGCAGACTGTCAAAGCCATGGGGGCTAAACTGGGGCTCTGGAGGGCACCTAATACTAAGGGCCCCACGGGAGAACTGTAGAAAGCAGGCAGATTTCCTGCCTCAGGAGATTTCTGATTCCTAGGGAGAAGAGTTAGAGGATGTGGGGAAAGGAGCACAGCACTAAATCAAGGAACCAGGAAGCTTGGGCTTTAGTTCTTGACCTTGGTAAAGGCACTGTGCCTCGCTGGCTTTGCTTCCTCATCTGCACAGTGAGGGAGCTCTACTTGGTCAGTAAGGGCAGACAAATGCTGCTCCACCTCCCTGCTGCCCAGAGCAGACATCACTAATCAATCACAGTGCTCTTTTCTGCTGAGTTCAGACGTGACCTTAACATCCTTTTCAGTGCTGCGCTCTAGGCAGCCATGACCAATGGATTGGAGTTGGCAGGCAAAATGACACCTCTTTGCCATCCTCGTGACAGATGGGGGCTGAGGTCCTTCCAGCTTTGCATGCCTATGGTTTCTCCCGTCCACTTCCTGAGGTTACCCAGGTATGTGTGCAGGTCTCTGCCCCTGAGGTCCAAGTCATCTCCTGCCAGCTCACTCACCACCTCCTGAGGAGGCTCAAGGGGAAGCCACACCTGTCGTCTGTCCTGAAGTACTTGTCTGGAAAGGTTGGCGGGAAGGGTGTGCCTCCAGCAGAGGGGAGGCTGCTGGGGCACTGAGTTCTCAGGACGCAGCTGCAGACTGCCCGGACTCTGCAGAGAGGAGAACAGTCCTGGGTCACAGCCCCTCCCTCGCCTCAGGCCCACCTGTGGTCTCAAGGGCAGAGGCAGCTGGTCTTAGCAGACTTGGGCCTCCAGAGCAGAAGAGTGAAGCCCCTTCCCTCCTTCCCTTCACAAGCATTCCTGAGTACCAGCTGTGTGCCAGACACTTCACGCTTTGGAAACAGCTGAATAAGTCCCAGCCCTGCTCACAGAGAGCTCATGCTCTACTGAGGCAGGGCAAGGAGGGAGATGGGAAGGGTGTTGTCCCAAGTGGCCAACAGCATGGTAGGTGTGTGTGCAAGGTGCAGTGGGCAGCCCCTGCGGACAGGTCAGCCAAGTCATCCCAGAGAAGGACAAGTAGATTGTTTTGTTTGTGTGGTACTGGGAATTCAATGTAAGGTCTTCACATAAGCACTCTGGGACCAAGCAACATCCTATCCCCTGACAAGCAGATCTAGAAGGGTGGTTAGAAGGCTGTTGGGGAGCAGGGGGAGGAGCCTGTAGGAAACTGCTGGAGGCAGAAGGAATGGCAGGGCCCACCATGGGGAGCTCGAAACCCTGGGAGGCCTGGGCATGGAGAAAGGTGCTTGGCTTGGGGTGGTGGGAGCAGCTGGCGGGCAGGCCGAGGGCTGGGATCCCATCAAGTGCAAAGAGGAGGGCCTCCAGGGCGGGGCAGCTGCTTTTCGAAGGTCTGACTTCCTAGGGGCGCAAGAGTCAGAGTGGCTAGCCAGGTGTGGTTAGCAGGCCAGTTAAGAAGCTCTTGGAAAATTCTGATTAAGAGAGAATGGGGGAGGGAGGTAGAGCTGGGGGTAATGTTTAGGAAGAGAGGCTGCAGGAATCCAGAAATCAGCAGCTTTGGGAGTGGGGGTGAAATGGGAGGAAATACTGAGGGGACTCTAGGGTTCTGGGGTGGATAGATGGAGGGGTATGGATTAAGGCAGGCAAGGGTGGGAGGTATCTGGCCGTGTGCGTGCGCGTGTGCATGTGTGTTCAGTGTGGAGGGCCAGAGGACACAGAGAAGCTGAGATCAACATCAGCTCCAGGTGCAGCAGTTGGCAGGGGTGTGGTAAAAGTGCGGCCTAAGGGCTGAGAGAGGCTGGGGCAGCACGGGCAGAGTGGGAAGGGCCCAAGGGTGGCAGAGGAAGGAGGGGGAGCAGCCAGCGGGTCCAGCCTTGGCATGACAGTGCCATTCCCTGGATAGGCCTTGGAGGTCACAGGGAAGACCGCAGGTGGGGATGGAAACAGGGTGCCTGCATAGGGACCAAGGAGTGTGATGTCCCCTCCTCGAACTCAGGTGACACAAGGGACCCCAGTGCCTTCCTTCCCTGGGATGGCAGAGCCCTGAAGGCCGAGGGAGAGGAGGCACAGAGGCAGGGGTGGGGTCCCTTCAGCAGCAAGGAGCCGCCAACCACACACACAGTGCAGGTGGGGAAGAGGGAGGGAGGGAGAGAGGGAGGGAGACACCCGCAGCACCGCTACTTCCTCTGGGAAGTAGGAAGGCAGGTGGGACGGGGGACCCTGGAGGAGTGAGAAGCCATCTCTGCCTGGCCCCAGAAGAGTCCTGGACAGTGGATCACGCACTCAGTCCCCTGTCTCTTCCCACCCACCTGTGGGTGGCACCTGGGCCCCACACCCACACCCCTCACCTGGTCACCCACCTCCAGCCCGGGCAGCTCAGCGTAGACGTGGCTGGATGCCTCAGCGGGGCAGCCCCGGCCCATGGCATAGAAGGCAATGGACTCCTCCGGGTCCTGGTAGATGGGGGGCGGAGCTGGGCGGAGGCGAGGCTCGGGGCTGGTGCAGACCTCAGTGGGCAGCATAGGCTTGGCAGGGATGGGAGGCTTGGGCCTGGGCAGTGGGGCCTAGCGAGGGCACGGCCGGAGGGTGGTCAGGGTGTCCTGGCCTGGGGCCCACTCCCAAGGTCGCTGCCTCCTTTGTACCCCCCAGGCCTTCCCCTCCCTCCAGTACCTCCTTTGGCTCCCAGGCTGGGGACAGGCTCTGTTTGTGCAGGGGGCTCGGGTCCTGGCTTTGGCTTGGGGAGTCTGAGTCTTTAGTCCTCGGGGAAAGCCCCACAGGCTCTGGGGTCTGCAGAGAAAGGAGATGGCCTCAGGGGCTGGGTGGGGACAGGGACTGGATGGAGGTGATACAGAAGGACAGAGCCTCTGGAGCAGGATGGGGAGGGGAGAAAGGGACACAGAACCAGGGCCTGAGCCATGGGTGTGGACGGCAGGGGACACTGGGAGGTGAGCGATGCCTCAGCCACTGTCCTGGCCTTCAGCCTCCTTCTGTGTGGACGGCAGGGCCAGGCCTGTCATCCTTCCTGCCTGAGGTTGTAAAAATGCAACAGGCATGAAGCCATCTTTAGCTTCAGGGTGATGAGTGGGGAATGCATCTCCGCTATGGCTGTGGATTACTTCTGCAGTAATCCAGGAGGAGTAGCTAGATGTTTCAGGGGTAGGTCCTGTGGGAGAGGCGAGGCCCCAGGTGGAAGGTCATGCATGGTCAGCCTGCCGGAGCTCAGCACTGGCCCAGACCTGACTGCTCTCCACATGCCTTGCTTCCGGTAGGCCCAGGCCACAGGGCCTTTCTATGCTCCTTCCATCCACTTCGGGCTTCCAGGATCCAAGCCAGAAGCCTCACTGTCCCCCCACCTCCAATTTCCTTCATAAAAAACTGGCAACCTAAGTCAGGTGGGGCGGTGCATGCCTACAATTACAGCACTCTTGGAGGCCGAGGCAGGAAGATCACAAGTTTGTGCTCAGGCTGGGTAACACTGTCTCAGAATAAAAAAGGGCCAGGGGGTATAGCTTAGTACAAAGGCCCTGGGTTCAAGTCTCATCACTGAAGAAAAAAACAGTGGCAAGTCCACCCTGCTGCCCAGACAGTACCTTAGCAGTCACCCACACACCCACCTCGCTCCTGCACCAGAGCCAACCCAAGCCCTGCTCCCTCTGCTGCCTAAATATCTTTCACGTCTGCCCTCTCTGCAAGCCTGCGCCAGGGATTCGGGCCTCCCACTGCACCTGGCCCCTCCCTCTAGCCCTCAGGACCCATTCTGCAGTCTCCCTGCCCGGACTCCCCTGACAACCTGCCAGGGCTGCCAGCTGCTCAGACTAAGCTCGATTCCTGTGGCACCTGGGATGAGACCTTAGTCCCTGCACCTTGAGCTTTCTTAGTTCCAGCCCGTTCCTCCTCACCCCCAGACCTGCCTGCACCCTACTCTGGTGCTTAGAAATCTTCAGGTTCCCTGGCTGCTTCCCGCGAGCGAAGGACAGTGTGCACAGCTCCTGAGCGCCTCGTCTGGATCACCAGTGACTTCCTGTTGGGTCCAGGGATCAGGGCTTGACTCACTTGCCCTTCACTCCTGCTCTCTGCTTGGCCTTCATAGCGCCATGCTTTTCTCCTCTCAGTTGTCCCTGTGCCTCCCTCTCCTCTGCAAACTTGGAATGCTGGAGACCAGTCTGCATGGCTTTTGTGTCCACACTGACTCCTGGGTGTGGACCCTTCTCCAAGGCTCTGGGCTCCATCTGATGCTCATAACCGCACCACTGAGCTGCATCCCCAGCACTGCTGCCTTCTCCACACTCCCACCTGGTGCTGAGTGGACCTCTCAGACTGCACTGATGGAAATGAGCCCTCCAGATCCCCGCCCATCCGAGCTTGGTCCTCCTGAAGCCTCCATAACGTCTGTCAGTGACAGCACCCTCCTTGTACTCTCCTCATCCAATCCTGCAAAACCCTGCCAGCTGCACCTCTTAAACAAGATCGGCAGATGCACCCATACCGGCTTCCTCCCTGCTGTCAGTATTCAACAAACGTTCTCCGACTTCTGGGCCTTTGCACCTGTTGTCACTCTGGCATAGCATGCTGCTTCTCCAGCTGCCTGCCCTTTCTCGACTTCATCCGGTGCTCTGTTCGGACGTGCCCTAACTGGAGTGGCCTTCAGTGATGCCCCGACCCAGTCACCATCATTCACTGCTTGATTTTTCTTGGGCACTTATTCCCAGACATGCTCTGTACTACCGGGTTCCTCTTAGTATGTGTTACCTGTCAGCATCACCAGGCCTGGGGCATTGTGGTCAGTTTTGTTTGCCCTTTCTCCAGTACCCAGAAGGATGCCTTGGATACACCATGTCCCTCAGAGCTCCCTGGACTTGTGCAGGTGGGCACTCCCTGTTGGCTCCCTCTACTTGGTCCCTCTCACTTGCCTGTCATTGCAGAGGTTTGTGAGTGTGAGACACTCCTGTCTCATCCGCAGCTCACTCCCAGGGCCTGCCAGCCCTGTACCCACTAGGAACTCTGTAAGCATATCTTCATTATTTATTTATTTTGAGACACAGTCTCACTATGTAGCCCAGGCTGGTCTCAAACTCGCAGCGATCCTCCTGCCTCAGCCTCCCAAATGCTGGGATTACAGGTGTGCAGCGCCACGCTCAGCTCCGTAATCTATTTTACAGCTGGGTGTGCCCAGCTGGCCTGTGCCTGACCCTGTGCCTGGGGTCTGTGCAGCGGGGCCGGCCTCCTCAGGCCCCGCCAGCACTCCTCAGGAAGGTATTCGGTGTGCGCCCAGGGAGGAGACCCTGGGGCGGCTGGGGAAGGGGCTGGCGGCCCCGGGCGCGTACCTGGCGGGCGAGGGGCTGGCTGAGCGTCTCCCCGTAGGGGCTGAGCGGGCGCGCCGTGTAGTGGCACAGCAGGTCCTGCAATCGCGCGTGGGCGCTGTCCTCACCCAGCACCACGTGGCGCCCGTCCGTGAGCTGGCCCAGCAGGAAGTGGCGGCAGCAAGCCTGGCTCCTGGAGGGGTCGCTGGGTCAGATGTGGCGCCGCCCCTGAGCTGGGGGGGGGGGGGGGAGCGCAGGCCTCGTGCAGGGCCCAAGCCCCTCGACCCAAACCCCGCCCCGCCCCGCCCCGCCCTCACCTGTAGGTGAGCACGAAGGTTACGGCGCTCTCGCTGAACCGAACCAAGTAGCACCCCCGGGGCTGGGGCTCCAGCAGCCTCTCGGCCTCCCTGTGGGTGACGGAGAGGGGGGACCCGGCTCTGACCTTCCGGCCTCACCTCCTGCCTCCTTGGCCCTCAGGACGGTCCCCGCGCCAAGCGGAAAAGCTGAAGGCTACAGAAGAGCCTGTGGGTCCCCTGCAGGAACGGGGACCCAAGCCGGGCTCCACCCCGGCCTCACCCTGGCAGGGCCCTGGAGGGGCTGGGCCGCAGCAGGAATGGTTATTGGACTTCTAGACCTCAGAAGTCACAAGCTGGACTGAAGAGGCCAAGACAGAGACAGAAGTGGAGCTGAGGGTGGAGGAGGAAAGAGGACCTGCAGGGGCGGGGAGAAAGGAGCAGGACAGAGCAGAGGAGGAGGGCCGGGCGTGGGGTTGCACGCCTGTAACCCCAGCACTCTGGGAGGCTGAAGCAAGAGAATTGCGATTTTGAGCCCAGTCTGGGTAATTTACTGACTTGTCCCCGTCTCAAAATAAAAAGTAAAAAGGGCTGGGGATGTATCTCAGTGCAAAGGCTCTAGGTTCAATCCCCAGTACTCAAAAAAGAAAAAAGGCCAGATGTGGCAGCCCTGTAATCCCAGCATTTAGGAGGCTAAGGCAAGAGGATCACCATGAGTTCGAGGCCAGCCTGCACTACATAGACACTATCTCAAAGGGGGGGGGGGGCTGGGAATTTAGCTCAGTGGTTCAGCTGCCTGCCTCAAAACAGAAAAGAAAAGAAAAAAAGAAGGGATCGAGGTACAGAGAAGCAGAATATAGGAGGGCCAAAGCCCTCATAGACAGGAGGATAAGGGAACCCGCAGAGGAGAAACAGGAATAGAAGGGGCTGGACTGGAGCCTCCTGACTCTCCCCAGGAAAGCCATCTCAGCAAAAGGCCTGGAGAGCCCTGGAGCTGGAGCCTGAGTGGACTCCAGGTCAGCTGCAGGATGGCACCTGGCCACGGCTCGCTGGCCCTACGTTCCTCTCTGGGACTCACCTTCGGGTAATGAAGCCATGGAACCAGGCAGGGGCTCCCCCACACTGCAGGAGCGACCAGGCCTGGGTCTTCTGGAACCAAGCCCGAGTCTTGGCCTGCAGAGACAGGCTGCCTTCCCCAGGCACCTCTTCCACCTTCTCAGGACTCCCTGGGACAGAGGCAGGCCCCAGGGCCCGGGCCGTTCCCTGGGTCGGGGAAGCGTCATGATTAGCGGGCCTCCTCCACCTTCTCCCCCATACCCAACCCCTCCTGCTTTTGAGGGTAGAATTCCCCAGAAAGAAAGTCCTTCCCAAGGTCACTGATTTAAATCCCTTCCTCAGCTCCAGCTGTTTGGTTTCCAGGGACTTTCCTCCCTCTTCCCTCTGGGGTGGAGAGCCTCTAATCCCGGAGCAGCGGGCTATTACGGAGAGGGAGAGAGGCAGGCAGAAAGTTTCTCCCTGGCCCCTGGAAAAAGGGAGATGGGGCCGGAAGTCATCCCAGAGGCCAGAGCAGGAAGCTTCCCCTCCAAGAGGAGGCTGCATGGCTTGAAGAGGTCCTAGAGAGTGAGAAAAGGCCAGGATGGGTCTGGAATGCACCGGGTGGACGAAGGCATTGCTCAAGAGAGGCAGGAGGGAGGCACCCCACACCCCGAGTTCCTACTCACCAAAGTGTGGACAGCGGGGGGCCGGGCCTCCCCTCCCCTTAGGTTCTGGAGCCTGGGGTCCCGGAACAAGCCCAGGCCCTGGCAGCTCCTTCGTGTCTTGTCCATGGGCTGGAAGGTGCTGAAAGCGGGGGCCGCAGCTTTGTGCCTCCCTGTGAGCACAAAGAGGGCTGGGCTGGCTCTGTCCCTGCAGGAGGGACGGTCATGACAGAACAAGTACCGCGGGGACAGTGGGGCATTTCTCAGCACTGGGGGATAGGAGCCAAGCATTACAGAGGTGCTGACCCTGCCAGGGGGTGCCAGGGGAGGAGAGCCTGGGGATCAGGCTGATCTCTGGGCCGCTCAGAAGCCAAAGAGAGGCAGAGGTCTTCGGTCAGGTCCCCTCCTGGCTTGAGGTCCTCTGCCAGCCACCCTCCTGTCCCTTCCTGTCTCCTCTCTAAGAAGCACTCAGCAAACCCCGTTGCCTTTCTCCTCCGCACCCATGGGTGGACGTGGCTTCCCAGGGAGGGAGTGGGAGTCCTGGGCATTTGCCAGTCAGCCTTGCCCGCTCCAGCCTGGGCTGAGGCCCTCGATGGTCCCTGCCCCCCCATCCCTGGGCTTCACGCTTACCTTGGGGGCACATCTGGGCCAGGGGCGTCTCCATGGGGCACCCTGGGGGCCCTGCGGGGCAGGTGTGTGTGAGCCTGAAAGGTGTGCACACTCAGCAGCTCATCTGTCTCCTCACCCTGGCCCCTGGGGACAGGAAATGTCGCTTCAACCACAGTGCAGCCCTGAAGAGGGCCCACGTCATGGAAAGCCGGAAGACACTTGTCCTGCCCTCAGAAGCCAGGCCCTGAAGGTGATGCGAGTTTTAGTCACTCTGGGTTTGGGTGTTGGGAAGCCCTCCTGCTGTCTGACCTGCATTCCTTGTTCCACGCAGGCTTTATAGGGTGTCTGGGGTTTTTCAAGGATCCATACTTTTTCTTTTTTTGGTACTGAGTATTAAACCCAGGGTCTTTGCACTGAGCTACATCCACAGACATTTTTTTTTTTTTTGGTACTGGGGATCGAACTCAGAACCTTGCGCTTTCGAGGCAGGCGCTGGAACCACTAAGCTAAATCCCCGGCCCCAATTTTTATTTTTTAATTTTTATTTTGAGACAGGCTCTCACTAAGTCACTTAAATTGCCCAGGCAGGACTTGAAATTGTGATCCTCCTGCATCAGCCTCCCAGATTGCTTGGATTACAGGCCTGTGACCCCACTCCTGGCTCCACTGTGTGTATTTTCTACAGCAACATCGTGGCTGCAGAAAGGGAATAGAAGTCAGGGTCTGTTGAATCCCAGCTTCACAGTGAGGCCCTGTGGCCAGAGGTGTAGCTCATGGGCCTCTAGACTCAGTGTCCTTGTCTGTACAATGGGAACAATGGAGCCAGAGCCACTGTGTGCAGAACTAAGCAGAGACTGCATGCAGAGATTTGGACTCAAGCTGGGGGCTGTTCGTGTCATTATAGCCATCACAACAGGGTGACACTGAGAGCTCCAGGGCGGCCATCAGCAGACCCAACTGTGAGCCTTCCCAGGGAGAGGCTGATATACCTGGGAGCAAGTGAGAAAGGTGATGGCAGGTGGTGACACGAGGGTGAAGATGACAGTGTGGGGTGTGAGAGTGGTAATGCCCCTCCTGGGGAGACAGGTGACTGGTGAGGAGGAACCAGCCACTCAGGGTCTGGGGAAAGTTCTACCCGGGGACAGTGTGAACTTCAGCCTAGCATACTGCAGTGTCCTGGGACCAGGCTCCCTGCCACCGACCGTCCCCCACATCTCCATAGCATACTCCACATCTCCTCTCCATACCAGAAGCAGCTGTGTCTTTACTTTTCTTTTTTTTTTTTTTGTACTGGAGATCAAACTCGGGTCCTTGGACTTGCACAGTGGGCGGCGAAACCACTGAACTAAATCCCTGGCCTAATCTTTACTTTTCTTGTTGCTCAGACAAAATATCTGGTATCCAAAGTTAAAGGAGGAAAGGTTTATTTGGCTCACAGTTTGTGGAGGTTTCAGTCTATAGTCGGCTGGCTCCAGGGCAGGGTGGCCTGGCAGAGGGGCATCACAGAGGAGAAACAGTCCATGGCAGGCAGGCAGGAGACAGCAAAGCAGCAAGCAGCAACCACCAGGAGCAAAGTACCCAAGTAGTGAATCCACAGGATCTGCAGCCCTTTTTCTGTCCCTTGTATTCCATCCAGATTACCTGCCCTTAGAGCAGGTAGCACTCACACCCAAGGCGGGGCACCCGTAATCCCAGCATCACATACCCTAGATCTACCTACCTCTGAAAAGCCCCACCTATGACCACGTGAGGATTTGGGGGGACATCTAGATCCAAGCCATAACAAGCTGCCTGCCTGCCACCTGCTGACCTCGGTCTGGGGCCCCACTTGTTCACTGTGTGCTTCCTGTCAGGAGGTAGGGACAGTGGCCAGGCCTTGGTGGGCAGAGCAGGGGTGAAAGGTGTTAGGAAAGGGGTGCAGGGGAGGGCCATGGAGGGGCTACATGGGCCCCTCCAGCCCCAGAAGTCTGCCGAGGAGTCTGGCATTCTGGTCACCCACCTCGGCCTTCTTCCTTTTGGACAGAAGGCCCCTGGTGTGGGCTCTTTCTCCACACCCCAGTGGGAGACACCATGAGGATTAGGACTGCTTGGCCTTAAGCTCCCACTCCACCCTTCCTCAAATTGGTTGTCTCTTTTCTTGCTTGAAAACAAGGAGAGAAGCCCGACTACTACCCTTCCACATCTGATTGCCTGCCTCTCCATACCCAGCTGTTTCCGCACCGATCCTTGGGGTGGTGGGGGTCTCGGCACAGAGCGCTAGCTCAACTGCCAGGGCTCCGCCCAGCTCTCAGGGCCAGAATACTGCTTTGCACAGCCCACTTCTGGAACCTGTGCCAACCACTTCCATGCACTTCGAGGTGATTTCAGTGGAGCATTTAAGATGGAATCACTCACGTTCTTTACCTGGAAGCCTGGGCCAAGCCAGAGGGGGTCCTCAGCCCCAGGAACTGCTGGCCCCTCACCCGCCGACATGGGTGTCCACACACAGACCAGGCTGCAGGTGTGGGAATGGGGAGCTCAGCTTGGGAGAGTCCTAGCTGCCCACAGTCACCTGTGCTGCCCCTCTCCCTTGTCCTTCAGCGAGGGGGCGTGATCTCCCCAAGCCTCAGTAACCTGTCTGGAGGATGGAGGGGCGGGGGATAGCTCTCTGGAAGGGCACTGTGGGATTCTGTCAGTAAATGGTGCAGCCTTCTGGCTACACAAACGCTCTGCCACTGAGCTGCACCCTAACCCTTTGTGAGTGTGAGTGTGTGTGCGTGTGTGTGCGTGTGTGTGTGTGTGTGTGTGTGTGTGTGTTTGAGACTGGATCTTGCCCTGTTTCCCAGCTGGCCCTGAACTCAGAGGCTCAAGGGATCCTCCTGCCTCCACTTCCCAATCAGCTGGGTCTGGTAGGTCTGCCCCGCCCCGCTAGTTTTAATTTGTTCCCTTCTCTCCAGCCAGCTCTTAGCAACACAATGGGAAGCTACAGCTACTCTGGGGCTGAGGGGGAGACCTCCAATCCTCCCACATTGGGCTGCATCATCAAGAAGGCTCCGGATTACCAGAGGCTCCCGACTGATTGGTCCTCTCCTCTCAGAGGGCTTGGTTCAAAGGTGGAGAGGGCTGCAGAAAGAACACTCTCTACCCATGGAGGCTGAGGGGGGGAAAGTGCAGTTTTCAGGCATCTGGGTGGGCCTTGAAAGCGGAGCAGACTCCCACAGTCATGGATGGAGAGGGCCTGGGCAGAGCCGGGAGGCAGCGCTCGCTGAGGGCCATGAGAAGCTATGCTCCTCCCCTGCGGTGGGTATTTGCTGTCAGGGTTTCTGCAGCTGAATTTGCTGTTAGACTGAACTGTGGGAAGGCTAAGGGAAGAAGGGGCGGGGGGGGGGGAAGAGTCCTGTAGCAGCTGGAGCAGCCAAGCCGAGCCATGCTCCTGTAAGACCATTGGCCTTACCAAACACTCCGAGGAGCTGACTGCAGTGAAGAACACCCGGGAAGGAACACACCGGACAAGTTGGAAAGTAAAACAGACCTTTATTAGTCTGGCCAGAAGGCACTCCCAAAGCAAAATAGCTTAGAGAGGCAACTGGCTCAGAATCCGAGGCTGTTTTTATAGGGGGTTGAGGGGGAAGTTAAACATATAGAATTAAAGAAAAGGGGACAAAGGTTAGTGGTCGACTGTCACGTATTGATGGTCAGCAGACATTTGCAGCTTGTTCTATAGATTGTGGTATCCGGAACATCAGTTCCAGGCAAACAAGGAGTTGAGTAGTTTACTTTGGGACTTTAGTTCTGTTACAGATTTTTATCTAGTGTCCCAAAACTAACAAGCATCTTTATCCATTAACTCACATTTAATCACAATGGGGCTGGAGAAAAGGAACAAAGGTTATGCAGTCCCACACTCCAGGCAGCTGTGTCTGCAGATGGTACTGGAGCTGGCAGAGCCTGAGGTGCTGAGGAGGGTGGAGAAGGACCGGGGGTCCTGGGAGTCTGTGGAGATGCGGATGGGGTCGCTGTGATCTGAGAGTCAGGTTCCAGAACTGCCGGAGGGAAACCCGTGGAAAACCGGAGAAGATTCTGGTGGTCTCAAGGGACCCCAGAGAACCCAAGAAAGCTCCAGATGTTTCGAGGGACCCATGAAGCTTCGGCTACCAAAGAACCAAAAACTTGGGGTCGAGGCAGGGAGATGTTAGCAGGAACCTAGGATCTCAGAGTGGAGGGCTTAGCTGGAAAGCTGGAGAGGGTGGAGAAATTGGAGGGTTCCCCGTTGTTCTCTTTTGTACCAGGGTCTGGAGTACAGACTTAGTGGAGGAGGAGGACTCAGCAGCCAGATGCAGACTTCCTGTTGCAGGCCCAGGGGAGAGGTCTTCGGGAGCCATGTGAACATCACCTTGGCCACCTCCAGGACAGCCAGGAAGCCCTGCAGATGTCTCGGGTCAGGTGTTGCCCTTTGAGGGGGTCAGAGCACTTTCCATTCGATAGCTGATGTAAATCAAGGACTGGAGAAGTAAATTACCAAAGAGCTTTGCTCTTACAAACTAAGGAGTACCCTTAACTAAAATTCAGTTCTGGTCTGACTCTAGAGGTAGCATTTTTCTGCTTTCTTCGCTCTCCACCATAGCTGGTTTGTTATCATTAACTCATCAAGCATCTATTGGAAACCCATAGTGTGCTGGAACCAGTGATGGTTTCAAGGGATATGAAGACAAATGAGAGGTGAATATGGGGAGATTCACAGGTCAACAAATCCAGGTTCTTCAGGGGACAGCATGGGGTGGGGAGAGGTGCAGAGGAGAGGTTCTAAAGGCCAGGCGCAGTGGCACATGCTTGTAATCCCAGAACTGGGAGGCAGAGGCAAAGGCAGGAGGATCCCCGTGAGTTCAAGGCCAGCCTGAACCACATAGCAAGACCGTGTCTCAAAAAAGAGAAAAAGAGGGCCGGGGATTTAGCTCAGCGGTTTCGCTGACCCGAGTTCAATCCCCGGTACCAGAAAAAGAAAAGAAAAAGAGAGAGCTAGGGGTTTAGCTCAGTGGTGCCGTTGCCTGCCTTGCAATCTCAAGGTCCTGAGTCCAACTCCCCCACAAAAACCCCCCAGAATTGCCGCAAAAGAAAAAAGGAGGAGGAGGAGGAGGGGAGGAGGGAAAGGAGGCGAGGGTGGAGGGGAGACCATTTTGCCTGGAAGAGACAACAACAGGGAGAGAAGTCCGGAAAGGCCCCAGGGGAGTGAGCAGTTGGGAGAGCTGATTTCAGGGAGAACAGGGGTGCTCAGGAGAAGCCAGAAGCGAGAGCCGAGGAGGCCCTGAGGTACAGGAGCAAAGTGATAAAGCTGTGGGTGCCCTGCGGGTGGCATGGGTCTGAGGGGCAGCAGGCTGGAGAGAGGAAGCCAGCAGAGGTCACTGCCTGGGAGCTCTGCCCAGGCTCACAGGCCTGGGGTGGAAGTTCTAGCTGAGCTGCACCCCTCTCCCTTCATTTATAGCAGTCTCAGGGCCCGGCTCCTACCCAGCCCCAGCAGGGCTGGCTGTGGTGCACTGCAGGTGTCAGTCAGCCTGCCCGCTCCCCCTCCCCGGGAGATCGCGTGTCCTCAGGGCAGGGGTGGCTCTTGCCCCGCTCTGTGACTTCTTCCACAGTGGCATTCAGCCCAGCACTAAGGACTGGCACCGGGGTCACCCAGATGCGATGGGCACCTGTAGGGACATATTCAACCCACCTCCACGCCCTCTTGGCCCCACGTGGGCACCATGCCCACCGGGTGGGCAGTGGCAGGGGGGGAAAGTGCGGGGTACTGACGCGGACCGTTGGTCAGCAGTGGGACTGCGGGTAAGTTATTTCACTGCCTTAGGGCTCCGTTTCCCCACCTGACACAGCAGTACGGAGCCTAGCAGATGGCAGTGTGTGTTGGAGTGTGTGTCAGGCGGGGCACAGCAGCACAGGCCTGTAATCCCAGCACTCAGGAGGCTGAAGCAGGAGGATTGGCACAAGTTGGAGGCCAGGCTAAGATACATAGTGAGTTCAAGGCCAGTCTGAACGACAGAGCAAGACCCTGTCTCAAAAAAAGAGGCCAAGAGAAGACAGTGTAGCAGCTGTTCTTTCAGACCTGGAGCCCAGGTGAGGGGGAAGGGGCTGCGCCTCCATTAACTGGCTGTGTGATCTCAGCAAGTCCCTGCCTCAGGTTACTCACTGATGGTACCCACCCTAAATTAAATTTAAACAAATACACTTGGGAATGAAAAGCCAGTGTAAGAAACTCTGGGTGTTGGCTCTTGTGTTGGGTAGGTGGAAGAGAGAGGCAGGGGAGGGGAGGATTTGGCTGGAGAATGCACACTCAGACCCGGAAAAGGGCTGAGCAGAGGGCGAGAGAAGAGACGGGAAGAGGAGGCCATGGTACACGTCGTGGAGAGAGATGAACGGGCTCTGGGCCCTTGGAGCCACTGTGGGTGACGGCAGACTCTACAGCGCCGGGAGGCAGCTGGCTTCCTTTTTTGTGACCCAGAATGCTATGTAAGCAGAGGCCGTCTGGCTTGATCCCAGAGTTGCTGGAAATCTCCAAAAAGTGCTTTTCTCTCCATCTGCCTGTTTTATGTCTCCCCAGCTGGAAAGTAACATGGGGTTACACAAATATTCTACCACTCCTCAACTCAAGGAAACCGAATGGCTCAGAAGAGGATGTGGAGGAGGCACTGGCCCTGGGGGAGGTGGGCGAGACAGCCCGGCGGTACCAGGTAACGGGCCGTTGGAGGAGAGAGGGGAGCCTCACCTCGCACCTCAGGCCTCTGGACAGCAGCTCATTCTTTTGTTTTTTGTGTGTGTTGTTTTTTTTGGTACCGTGATCGAACTTGGGACCTTATGCTTGCCAAGCAGGCGGCGGAACCACTGAGCTAAATCCCCCCGCACCCCGCAGCTTATTCTTTTAAAAGCAAACTTCTTCTTTCTCACTGTATGAAAACTGCATATTCTTTAAAGAACAGAAGGAGAAAATATAGGCAAGCAAAAAGAAGGCAGCAATCCTGTCCCGCCGTCTGATGTGTATTCACACTTGCAGACACTTCCCTGAGTGTGCACATGGACGTGAACAGCGGCATCCTTTACACTCTTTGTAACCTACCCTTCCCCTGCAGTTCATCACGGCCACCTTTCCTTGTGCCCAATGTACTGCTGCCGCATCTTTTAAATGATTTCACAATTAGATAACGATGGCAATAATCTGTACGATGCTCCACAGCTTACAGAGCAATCGGGATCCATTATCTTATTTCAGGCTTTGTCCTTCCTGCACGAGGTCCCTCCCTTAGGAGCTTCTGGTTCTCGAAGAGGCCACCCTGCCTGCCTGGGCTCCACCCTGGCCCCACAGTCATGGCGCTACTCCTGGGACCGAGGTTTGGGGAGAGGAGGCCACCCCCAGCTCACTTCCTGTGTGACCCAGCGTGACTTCTGCCCTTTCTGCCTCACTTTCTTCCCAGCCTCAGCTGTTCTTCCTGCCTTCCGCTCTGGTCTTCGAGGGGTTCCTTTCCTTCCGCCTTTCCCTCCCTGCACTGTCCGCCTCCTTCCCGTGTGGTTCTTGCGAGGACGTGCCAGATACCACCCACGAGGTGGGCTGCGTGGCCCTGTGCTCCCTTCGTCCCCGGAAATGACTGAGCCCTCTCACTGCCGTGCTCACAAGTGGGGAGTGTTGGGGGCCAAAGGCACACAGATCAAAGGGGACGGGGTGGGCCAGAGCCCGGGTCCTCACTGCCTTATGTGCCTATCTCTCTCCACACCCCGTCCTCTCTCCCTCTCTGGCTCTCCCATCCCTCTGACAGCTGGAGAGTGGCTTGTGTATGAGAGAGCAGGGAGAAGGGAGGGAAGGAACAGCCTGGCCCAGAACTGTCGCGACTCCTGCCGTGCTGGGACTTTAGTCCCTTTGCCCCATCTGTCCTGCTCCTCCTCTGTGGTGGGAATGAGGAAGATGAAGGAAGATGCTCCTCAGAGCCAGGGCCCAGACTGTTCAGATGTCCTGCCTCCCCTGCCTCCCAGGCACACTGAGGGCAGGCGAGGCCAGGGCTGGGATTCCCTCTTAGTCGGCCGAGTTCCCTCTCAGGGCTGGGCCTCCTGGCTCCAGAGCGGACACATACCACAGAGCTGGGGCTCCAGACCTTCGGCAACAGCCAGCTCTCTCCTGGAGTGTCCCAACCCTCTGGGAATGCTAGCCCCCTGGCACCATGGACCTCAACAGCAAGATCATGAAAATTCTTCATCTGGGGACCCTTTGTGAGATTTGCTCCTGGCAAGATCTAATGGAGGAGAGAACTTGGTCTCAGCAGGTAAGCTGGGACCCTGCTACACTCTGCCAAGTGTGCAGAGTGTGCCTGAGTACCTCTGCCCTGATGTACAGGCTCACCGAGGACCCTCTGCTTGAGCCTGCCCTCAGACTCGCCGTGTAACTTCTGCTCTGACTGCATATCGCGGCTCACCGAGGATCCGCTGCCCTCACAGGACTTTGATGCTCACTAAGGCTCTGCCTTGGGCTCCTTCAAGTCCTTGGTCTAAATCCATCCCCAGCCCCACCTGCCTGTTTTCCTGGTACAATGCACTGTCAAAGCCACTTCCTCCACCCTCTTCAGAGGGGGACAGTGCCACCCTCATGGTCACTTAATTGTGACCTGAGTGGCCCAATTTCATGGCAGACACCCCAGAGCTGCCTTGGGTCGGCATGTCTCTGAGTCCTGGGTAATGCTGAGGAGCACCAGCATTCATCCTGGCAGCTTCAAAGGGATGGAAGGGACCCAGGCAGAAGACCCTTGGGGGTTGTGTATTGGAGCTCTGGCTGGAAGGAGGAAGACTTTGCTATGGGGGGTGGTCGTGGGCCGACATCTGTCTTGTCCTTAGCCTCTGACAGAAAGTTGGAGAAGGCAGACCACTCACAGGCAGGGCTTCCACAGTGTGTTGGCACTGGGCTGGGGAAAAGCTCACAGTTTCTCCTCCAGAGAGGGTTGCCGGGTATCTACGACCTGGTGCCTGCCACCCCAGCTCCCTAAGAGGATCCTATCCCGTTCCCCTGCCCCTACAAAGACACATCAGTTGTCCCCAAGCTTGGCAGGAGTGGACAGGAGACCTACAGCCCCCAGCACCCTCTGCCTAGATGGTGAGGCCGCCAGTGACCACAAAGACAGCTCCAAGGAGATGGCTGCTGGACATGCTGTTCTCCTAGCTCATCTGTCTACTCCGCCCTTCGCCCTGCAGCCAGCTGGAGGTTACTGAATTATTAATGTTCGAGTTCTGTCTGGATCTGGGAGAGGAGGAGCCAGGAGGGTGCTTCTGGACTCTCAGTCACTGCGTTTCCCCTTCCTCTTCTGTGGGAGGTGCCCATTCCTCCTTCCCAGGCCACCTCCTGTCTGCCTCCAGCTGTCCCTGAGCGAGAACACTCGGGTCTCCCCTCCCCACAGCTTCCCAGGATATGGGGAGGTCTCTTCTGACGTCCAACGTCCAACTCGCTTGGTATCTTGGTAAATCCACTTCTTTCTGGGACACAAATGCAACAATTTGTCTACGACCTTCCTTACACCCTACCCCAGTTCTGGACCAGCCGCCCCGTCATCCTGGGAGCAGAACCTGGTCAGTGTTTCTGAAGCCCCTTTCCACCTGCAGCTCCTCCCCGGGCCAGGCCGTTCCTCCCTGACAGCCAGTGCTCGGGACTGAGGGTTGGGGCCCCCGTGGGGAAGGGGTTGAACCGGTCAGTGCGCCCTCCGCCAGGCGTATGGAAGAGTAGGAGTGCTGGTGTGCCCTGTGTGAGCGTGCACACCTCAGGTCCGGGGCTGCTGTGAGGAGTTCCCTCCCTTACGCTCTCCCAGCGGCCTTAGAGCGACCAGCAACAGACAGGGGCTTGGGGATGGGGAAACCACCCCTCCTTTTCTCCTGCAGCTGCAGTTCTACTGCCAACCATCAGGGGTCACTGTTGCTTCAGTCGTCAGTGCCAGTCAAGGACAGGGCAGCCCGAGAAGGGAGCGGCTCCACACAGGAGGTCCTTGCAGGAAGGACCCTGACCTTGTTAGGGGGGCAGGGTGTGTGGTAGCCCTGGCCTCACCCAGATTCATGTCCCATCCCCTCAGGCCTTGCCTGATGGCGCTATGGTATGCAGGACAGCTGCTGAAGTAAGGAAGGATGCATAGTGTGCGTGGCAGTGGGTAGCAAGCAGTTCAGGTGCTGTGATCCCTAGGAACGGGCTGCCGGAAGCTAACGAGCCCTGCGGGGGGGGGGGCGCTCATGGTAGACTGTGTGCAGCATGCTCGAGGCCTTAGGCTTGATCTCCAGCACCTGGACATCAGAAAGACCTGAGCTGTGCCAGCCCTTCTGCTTCCGCCCTTCACCTGCACCTGCAGATTCCCTGGCACTGACATAGAAGCTTAGAAAACCTTGCTTCCTGGGGCAGCAACAACCCATCCCTCTGCTTGGGAGGTAGGCTGGGACTCCGGCCTACTGGAATAGCCATAGGGAGCAGCCCCTGCCCTGAGTGGGGTACATCTGAGGTGGATAGGTGATGCCACAGGGACCCTCTCTCACTCCACTCTGCCCTGTGACTTCATGGAGGAAATGCCTCCCCAGATATATCGAGGGATGAGATAAAGATGAGGCATAGGAGACTGGGTGGCTCTGGCTGGCTGGCCAGATACGAAGGTGCCCTGCTGGGCTCAGCCTCTCCTGGCCCTGAGCAGGAGATTACAGCAAGATTGTGGTGTCTCACTGCCATGGCAACCCTGACTGCTCAGGTCCTCATAGATGTGGTGTTTGACAGCAGTGTATTTATTCTGTGTCATTGCCTTAGGGTCACCACCCCAGGTCCCGAAGGAGGGAGACAGGAAGTTCATCCGGTGCTAATGCCATAGAGATGGAGAGATAATGGGCTGCCCAGGACCAGGGCACTGAGAGACCTCTACGTTTATTGTGCCTTCTCCAGTCTTCCCTTGAGAGGGGGGATGGGGTGGGGGTGGCAGCAGTGGGTGAGGGGAGGGAGAAGACAAGGCTCTTAGGCCCTTAATGATCCAAGGCTAATAAGAAGGGGAAGACTGGGAAAAGGGGCAAATGTGGCCCAAGGGACGCCCCGGGGGAGGACAGGAGGAGCACCAAGCACAGGGTCCCTGGTTGGGGCGAAGGGAGAGGACGAGGTGAGCACAGACCCCACCCTGCGGTGTGTAGGACAGAGGGGCAGAGGAGACCACAGTGGGCAGACAGGGTGTGGACATCCACACCCAGAGAGGCCTCCGAGTCAGGCTTGGATCGCTCATCTTTCAAGCATGTTGATGGTCCCCGATGTGCTCAGGCGATCCCAGGCTGGGGCTAGGCTCCCTGGGGCGGTGTGCACCTGTCCACGGGTCTAGGCTCTGCCTGCCGGGCCTTGCCTGCTTTCCTGGGAGCGAAGTCTGAGCTGACTGCCCCCCCCCCATTCTCTTCGCACTCCCGGCCACCCCCGCCCGTCTGAGCTGGGAAGGGAGTGAACACCTGGACATTTCACACCACCAAAGCTCGGTCCCTTCTTCTCTACCCATGGGAGGCCAGGCAGTCGGGAAGGGGGTGTCCCTCAGTGCCCTGGCTCCCATTTTGCCGGCTGTAGTCTGAAGCCCCTTTTGAGGTTGGAAGGGAGTTGGGCTCTGCATCGGTGGGGGGCAGGGGGCCACGGACCCCTTGGCACTCTGGACTGTAGTAGAAGGAAAAGAGGCGGAAGGAGGGCCGCAGCTCCTCCTGTATGCTGTCCAGAATGTGGGTGAAGGTAGGGCGCAGACGTGGGTTCTGCTGCCAGCAGCTGCTCATCAGCTCCTGCCTGGTGGGGGTGAGGACAGCATCAGAGGGGGCCCAGAGCCCAAGCCATACCCTGTTCTCCTGCTCGGGGAGGGTCAGCAGCAGTGGGGTATCCTGGGGCATGATGTCTGGGAGTGCCCAGAGGAGTAAGTGGGGACATAGTAGAAATTCAGCTGTGGGGGCTCATAGCTGGGGACAGGGGTGCAGAGCCGGGGCCATGGGTAGAAGTGTGGGCAGGGAAGGGCTAAGGAAGGGGGTTGGATGACTCACAGCTGAAGGGGACAGTCCTCCAGCTCCTCCAGGACCCCGCCGTCCAGGACAAACTTGAGCACCTGCTCATTGGACAGGCCCTGGTAGGGCTGTTCAGCCAGGGTCACAATCTCCCAGAGCACCACACCGAAGGACCTGGAGGACATGCAGGGACTGAGTCCAGCACCCTCAGACCACTCAGCACCTCCCAAGAAAGGGGAGTGGCCAGCCCCTCCCTAGATGCCACCCTCGCACCCCCAGAGCCCTCGGGTTCCCCAGTCCCCACCAGACATCCGAGTGAGTGGTGAAGATTCCATCTTTGAGGGACTCAGGGGCCATCCAGCGCACGGGCAGCAGCCCCTTCCCGCCCTTGCGGTAATAGTCTGTCTCATACACGTCCCGAGTCATCCCAAAGTCTGGAAGGTGTCAGGGGAGGGGGAGGGCCCACATCAGAGTGCCTCTGCCAACTCTTGCCAACCCAAGGGTGCCTCTGCCAATCCCTCCCACCTTCACAGCCCCCAAGGGTCCTGGAGCACGAGGGCTGAAAGGACCGCGGAAGTCTCCCCATCCAGACTCCTCTGCCTTGGTGCAGGGGCCTGAGATCTGGGCATGGTGCCGCAGGCCAGGCTGGGGCCCTGTGCCTGGCTAAGGGAGTCTCTACTCTCCAGGCTGCCCTCATCTGCCTGACACCCTCAGTACCCCCCGTCTGCCCAGTGCCTGCTGTACCCCCAATCTTGACGGTGAAGTCCTGGGACACCATGCAGTTGCGGGCTGCCAGGTCACGGTGCACAAACTTGTTGGCAGCCAAGTAGGCCATGCCATCGGCAATCTCGCCAGCCATCTGTATCATGTCCCCCAGCGCTGGCTGCGGGAGCCCGGGGTTGTTCTAGGCCAAGAGAGGGGCGGTGAAGAAGAAGCCTACGCTTCTGTCCTGGCCCGAGAACAGCCCCCTCCCCCACGACATGCGCCAGTCTTCTTAAACTCTCCAACCTCCTGGCCCAGGGTCTTCCTGGTCCCCACCTCTGCCTCAGGCCGTAAAGACCTAAGGTGGCTCTTAAGGTCCCCACGGGTCATTAACTCCATGATGACCAGAGTTGGTTGGCCCTGAGACACCACGCCCAGGAGACGCACCTGGGACGGAGGACACAGACACAGAGCTTGGTTGTGGTTCCACCCATTGCCCCTCGACCTACCTGGCTCAAACTGTGACCTGCTGGACCTCCCGTGTGACTCGGACACCACCCTGATCCTAACCCGAGCCGAGACTGCAGCACGAATCACGACCGGGTGACCCGACCCCAATCCATAAACTGGGTCGTATCTGTCACCCAGCCATGACCCTGGCCCCACTCTGACCTCAGTCATGGCCCTAATAGTCCTCTGGCCACTCAGTACTGATCTCAGCTCTACCCATGAACCCACTGTGACTCTCACCCCAACCATGGCCTCTGCCCCATTAGGATCCTAACCACAGTCCCAACCCCAACTTTGACAACACCCTGACCTCATCCCTGACCCTTGCCCTCTAACCTCATGGCCTCTACCCCAATTCTGACCCCGACGGTGTCCTGACCCCACCTTACCACATGGTGACACTTGAATGCCTTCATGACAGAGGCTTCCTTGAGGAACTCGATGCGTTCGCGGGGGCTGGCCAGCTCATTCACTGTCTTCAGGGCCACCGGCGTGGACGCCTCTCCAGCCTCCAGTCCTCGCACCGCACCCTCATAGACCATCCCGAAAAAGCCCTGGCCCAGCTCCCGGATTATGGAGATCTGCTCCCGAGGCACCTCCCACTCGTCAGGGACGTACACTGGGGGAGGTGGAGTCACAGGCAGGTGCTGCTCTCTGCCGCCTCCACTCCCCCTGGCCTCCTTCTGGACCACTCTGGTCCGAGGCCACCTCTTCAGAAAGGTCTCCTGGAAATCACCTCTCCCTCTGTCCTGTCTCCCACCCCACAGCCCCAGGCTGCCCACCCCAGACCTACTGTCAGAGGCGCTGAAGTACTCCGGATTCACAGAGGTATACAAGGTGCCATTTCTGCAATGGGGGAAAGGGGTCAGGCTGGAAGGGACCTCAGGAAGGAATGAGCAATGCCAAGGACAAGGAAGTGGGATATCTTTTTTTTTTTTTTCTTGAGACAGGGTCTTGCTATGTAGTTCAGGCTGGCCTTGAACTCTCAGTGATACAGTGCCTGCCTTCCAAGCACAAGGCCCTGAGTTTGATCCCCGGTACCAAAAAAAAGAGAACAATCTATAAAACTTATAGTGATCCTGCTGCCTCAGCCTCCTGAGAGCTGGCCCATGCCTGGCTATGGAAGAGGGATATCTTGAGGAGAGGGTTATTGACCACCCCCTAGGAGCCGTAATGGTTTCCAAGTAGGCTTGGTCCCATCCCGGGATGTAACAGGCAGGGAACAGGTAGACACAGAAGTGGAAGGTCTCCTGCCCCTTCAGGTCATCTCCGGGATCCAGCTAATCAAGGTCCTGCCCCCCTTCCCTCTTGCATTCCGCCCCG